CTAGAACTTGGATCAAGTTCTAGCATCGTGGACATTGGCCTTAAGAGTCCTGGCCCTTTGACAGAGCTTGGACCAATTCCAACATCGTGGACACGGGCCTTTATGCCGGTCCTGGTTTCAAAATGACGCAGGTCAATGTAAACATCAGCTGTATCCCCAGAGAGATAATCAAATAACGGCGACAAGAGGACGAGGGCAGCGGCGAGATCGATCCGCGAGGGACGAGCGCGCGCGCGACGATGATGATCCGCAAGAGAATCTGCCCGCGGACCTTCAGCGACCTGCTGTCCATGGCCTTCGTTCTCACGATCGCGCCGCTCATGTACTGGTTCGGGCTGTTTATAGTGCTGCCGGGACTCTACGGGGACCGGAATCCGTTGTACGCGCTCCACTTCACCCTGGGCAGCTTCATCATGCTCAACATCGTGAGTAACTTCACGTACACGGTGATGTGCGACACCAGCACCGGCGGGCGCGTGGTGCCGGTGAGCACCGCCCGGCCGGCCGACGGCTGGTGGCTGTGCGCGGCCTGCGAGTGCCTGTCGCCGCCGCGCTCCTGGCACTGCAACGTCTGCGACGGCTGCATCCTCAAGCGCGACCACCACTGTGTCTTCACCGGCTGCTGCGTCGGCTACTACAACCACCGCTACTTCGTCATGTTCCTCTGGTACCTGTTCCTCGGCGCGGCGTACGCCTTCTTCTACGGCAGCCTCTTCATCTGGAGCACGCAGCCCTTCGAGTTCCCCTCGTCGATCATCAAGATGGTCTTCCCCATGGCGACCTTCTTCTTCGGCTTCGACAACTCCAGCGACCAGTTCTACCTGTTGCTCTACGTCGTGTCGGCGGTGGGCACCTTGTACACCGGCGTGCTGTGCGCCTACCACTTCAGTCTGATCCTCAGAGGCGTCGTGGGCAACGAGAGCAACAAGAAGGACTTCACCTACGACATGGGCTGGAGGGACAACATCAGAGAAGTCTTCGGCGAGCGGTGGTACCTGACGTGGCTGCTACCTTACATAAAGTCGCGGCTGCCTCACGACGGAGTCTCCTGGCACCACTTGTGCTCGAAGAAGGATTGAACTTGGCATTCCGCTGAGACTCCTTTCAAACCGCGGAATGCGTCGAATGCATTTGCATTGCCTGTGATTGAGAGTATCGGGGATACTTTCGACGGCCAAAGAACCAAGCTTTGACTGCTGGAAAGACTAAGCTCTTTTTTATCCACAGGATACTAGTTGAAGTAACCAATTGGTAATCCACTGTACTTCGAACTGTATCGTCCACTCTACACAGCTGTCGTAAACAAGATTTATATCGAATAGGCAGTATTATATAGTTTTATTCAGTTACATATACAAATAATTGCATATTTCTTTGGCACGCTTAACATTACATTAATAGTATCAGTGCTAATTGTCTCTTACATTGAAGCTGAACGAACGCATCGAAAACTTTCCAGGTTCCTCCTGATCTTAATTGTTTAATGCTTCATATATATTTTCTGGAGAAAGCTTTGATTTGAAGTATTTATAAAGCGTATCACTCGTTACTGTTTTGAAACACTGCGAAGTATTTAATTGTATAGTTATACATTTAATTGTACATTACATTTTATTAGAAAACTGTACATAAGAAAGACAACGGCTTATAGTATACATAATCAGTAGGGATAATTTTGTCTGGGTGCGTATTTACAAATTAAAGGATCGACTTTCATCGGCGTGCAGATATTTGTGACTTAAATCACAACCGTATCTTTTTATATAATCTCTCGGATCACCCAAGTTCGCGATTCAACATCTCGATTGCTTAATATCTAGTTAAATATCAACAGTTACTATTATATACGATTCTTTTCATCTGAATACCTGCCGGTTTACCCTAAACGGTATAGTTTTTCATGTAAAAGAACGATTGTATAAAAAATGCCAAAGAAAGGCGTACGCAAACATTTCGGGAAGCCTGTTGCTGTGGAATAAAATAGATTACCATCTTTCGATATCTTCTGGTAACTGTTTGATCGCATCGTGATTTTATACCGTTTAGAGTTTTTGATACAATACATAATAATAATAATTCCGACGGAAAATCATTTCAGTCGCGTCGCGCCTGCCGTGAGGTAAAGAAGCGCCAAACACTTGCGGTGTGTATCATATTATCTTTGATCACGGTTTCACCAGGATTACATAAATGCATTCTCTGACGCGCCACAGCAAGACGAGAACGTTATTCCGCGTGTACAGCGACGTTAAATAATTGAATGTTTTACTTGATCCGTTCTTATTTTGTCACCTGTATATATTATCAGCCATACATCTACATCTTTCGCAAGATGACACGAATCCCTAAGTAGAAATAATCTCGTATAAATCGATAATGAAGATATATTCTTTGGACGAGTTTGAGGCGAATGTTACAAAGCAAGATCGCGAGTTCAAGAACACTTAAACCACAACTATTCTGCAATTCAATCTTTACTTAAAAAAAAGCCAACTCGCGAAAGAATATATCATTGATCCCCGTTTTCTGTACAAAATGCATGCTGCTTTTGCCAGTAGAAAAACTTTAATTGACAATCCGCAAAACGTCGTCCGATTCCTCACTTGGAGTCGAGCGAATGTTTTCCGATTCATTTAGAGTAGTTTTGATTTGTTGGTTACTATCGTTTTGCTACTGGCGTTAACTGGTTTAACGCAAAAAGCTTCTCCAACTGCAATCCGCCGAAATGCAAATGCGACTTTCGCCATCCCGCCGGAACGATCCGTTACAGCTGGAAGATATCACAACCTAAAGATTTGAGATTTTGTTCTGCCAAGTGGAACCCAAGTGCCCGAGTGTTTTACTCGCCGAGCCAGGAATGTTAGGCGATTGCGTGCGTGGACTGCACGAACGTAAGACGGAAGATTATACCTTGGGCAACAAACTAGCGTGACCCTTTTTCTTATATGTCCTCTTAACGGCGAACTTGATGCATACGAGCACGAGTATCGCGGCCGAGGTGACGTACAGCACGACGCAGATGCTGATATCAAAGACGTTCAAGTCCCAGCCGAAAGCCGTGGCGCGCTTCGTCTCCTTGGCCAGTCTCTCGGGCCTGACTCTCGAGCCGTTGCCGTTGGTCATGCCCACGTCGTCGGAACTGTTGATCCCGTCGAGCTTGATGCTGCTACTGCCGTACTTGCTCGTGAGGTATCGAAAAACCTCCTCCTCGTTCCAGCGGTTGTCGGCGTATCTACACGCCGGGCAGTGCTCGGCCGCGGGATACTGCATCTTCCTGTGCTCCGGGTCCTCCGTATTGTCGCCCGACAACCGTGTGTTCACCAGATTGTGCGCTTGCCACAGCCAGAGCACGGCGTCGTTCTTGGTGCGCACGTCGAACATCCTTTTCTTGTCGGCCATCTCGACAAAGTGCGCGGCGCAGTCGGCGCAACCGAAGAAGGTCCCGATGTAGCCGTGCATCGCTCGCAGCACCTGCGTGGGGTCCCGCGAGAGAGGCTGGACGAGCGCCTTGTCGTGCTCCAGCGCGAAATTGACGGTCAACGTGTGAAACATGGTCCACAGTCCGCAGGGATAGCCGCGGTACGAGTCCGTGCTCCCCTTGCATCCTATCCACTGGCGGGGCGCGCCCGAGTACACTGGCGACAGCTCCTCCTCCGTCGTCTTCGCCAGCTGACTGAACTCCTCGCCGGTCATCGCGCTCTTCTTCTCGACGACGTCGCGTATCACCTCCAGATAGGCGTTGCCACGTCGCAGAGGAAAATACGCCGCCAACACCGCGAGATACTTCTGCAACGCCTTCATCCTGTCGCCGTCTATCGACTTCATCATCGGTATCTCGTGATTGATCGAGTAGCGCAGCGCGCTCTCCAGGTCGAGTTGGTACACGTAATCGTCGGTCCTCGTTGACGATTGCAGCTGCTCCTCCACGACTTCGCGGCCCCTCACGACCGTCGTTCGACGCGTGTTCTCCGCACTCTGCACCGTCGTGCTCGCCTCGTCGACGTTCACTCCCCTCGCGATCGCGTAATCCTTGATAGCTCGTCGCACACCCTGCCTCGTCGGTATTCGCACGGTGACGACCCTCTGCGACTCGTTGCGCCCGTAAGCTATCAAGGTTGGGAACTTGGTGACCTTGTTCATCAGGCACAGTAGCTCGTTGTCGGAGGTCACCCTGCGTATCTGCAAGCTGCTGACTTTGTGGAGATCAAGAATGACTTCGGCGCCCAAGTGCGAATCCGTGGCCTCGAAGATCAGGAAGAAGTGCTTCACGTGGCTGGGCACTGTCTTCCAAATATCCGTTATTTCGACGTTCCTGCGAACGAGTGTAATCGAAATATTCTTTTGCAACACAAAACTGGAGAAGACTTTAACTCCTCTCGACTTCACAAACGATCTACGGACAATTGTTTCAAAAACAAATTGCTCCTTAAAAAATTCCTCTCGTCTTGTTCGCAAACGCACCAAACTGTTATAAATTCGATAACACATGTTAAAAATTCTCAAGCGACTACAAAGTTTTATGGCACAATCTGTTTTCGACAACGTCGCATACGAGGAACAAAGACGAATTGTTTTATTCAGTCGTAACGAGACGCGATCCAATTAGCCGTGGAAAATTTATGATGTACCTATACGGTGCGATGTTAGGCCACGTAGAGCCTCGTCCTTCCTGTTGCTCCGTCTCGAGCCTGCTAATTAAATTATGCCTGACCGAGTCGACGCTGTCCCCCTTTTCTATTGCTATACCCAAGGACGGCGGGTGTGCATTTATAGAGAAATATTTCAGCATTGGATAGTGCATGATTTCGTACTCGCGGCAGATTGGATTGTTGTCGTCATCGGCGCAATCTATAGCCGCGACTACGACGATATCGCTCCAGGCTGAAACATTGATTCTTTTTACCAAATTATTTACGTGCGCCTGCAATAAACGGCAGGTAAAGCAGTCGAAAGCGAGCGCAAATTTCGTCGCATTCTGGTCAAATTAGGTCTCGGAGAGGATCGCACGAATACGCACAGTTTAATAAGTAAACTGTTCCACAACTAATCGCGACAACTTACGTAGAACGTCGCTGGCCAAAGCCTTCCACGTCGGCGCGAATCTGTAACAAAAGCCGCACCAGCTATTGTAGAACTCGACCAGCCAGCTTCTGGCGCTCCCGTAAACGTGGGACTTGAAATTGGTGGCATTGAGTATCACCACGTCGTCACTGGCGTTGTACAGGCTCTGGCCGCCCAGCAACATCAGACCTTGGGGCGAATTCTTGTGGCCTATTACACCTGCGCTGCTCCAGTCTATCATTAGAACGTTGAGTAGGCACAGTATAATCCCTGTTATTTCTAGCCGCTGCATCTTGCGTCTCCGATAACTGACATTAGAGCCCAGCTACTCCTCTCTATCTCCCTGCAATTGTGCAATACCAATTGATCGTTAAAGTGATATCATTTCAACGTTGCATATGTTAACTTTGACACGCATCATGCGAAGCTCTTACTGTGACATTCGGCAGTTCTATTTGTTCCCTCGATTTCTAACGATTGGAATTTTTCTTAAAAAAAACAAAAATAATGCCAGTAATTCAAGAACTGTTTGCAGTTGAAAGTTTAATGGTACAAAAATATCGCAATGCATGAATCAAAGTATTGATTTCTTGTCATCTATATTTTTCCACAGACTATAGGCTTGTTTTCTGTTCCTACACTAGTGAACTAGTGCAATAAATTGGAGTAAGACAAGCATATTTTTTCTCATTCTAGCTTACTGCACTAGTTCACCAGTGTAGGAACAGAAAGCAAACCCTTTATTCGCTCTCGAACGAACTTCAGAAGAGAAAACACATAATAAACCCAGATAGTTGAATCAGAACAGATTTCGTCGAGTGCCCACCGCAAATTTTAAAGATTGCATACAGGAACTGATATATTCGATATGTTGCCAGCACGTCAGCAGAAATCAAACAAAATCTGCTCACATAACTGGAGCTCACATAATCTGCTCGGTTTCTGCTGATGATCTGTTGACAGTGTATGCTTTTTACAGACTGCTGGCAGAACAAAAGCCAACTGTGGACACAGATGGCTATGAGTTTGGTGGGGATTTGACGAATCTGCTAACATTTTGCTGACTGGGCAGTCATCTCTCGGTTGTTCCGGTGGATTTCGGTAAGACATCAATTCCAAATGCAAAGCCGAAGAGAAAGCAAGAGCACTGACTGCCGATCGAAGGGGACAGTCGGCGCATCTCGCGCGCACGTCGCCCCCGAGAATAATTGAATTCGCTCTCCGCGGGATCAACGTGAGTCCGAATCTCAGACGAAACGAGACGAGAACCGCCGTCGCATTTCGCAATTCGGTTTAACGATCCCACTCGGTCACAGCTCGATTTCTATACGGGAAACATTCCAATTCCACGGGAATCCAACGCAAGTGGCGAGTCGCGATCGACGTTGCCTCGCGATACGCGGTGCAACGTGCCGATGGTTCGTGATCAGATTACGTGGAAAAAAAAGGAAAAAAAAAGAAGAGATATACGAGTACAGTACCTCCCTGCGTGTGTTATCTCGTATCTCTCGGCGGACACGTTCCCAGCCGGCCGACACGTCGAGCGATATGAGAGCCCGTCGGTTCCACCTCAACATTAGGGGGGAGTAATTTCTTAATTTAGTAATTCACATTGATGTACGCGGTGCGTGTACATGGCACCGATCACGACGCGATCAGACATAACCTCGTGGCACCGTCCGACGCAATCCCCAATTTGCACTGGCGTGCGAATCGCATCCGCGACATCGCGAGCGAGAGTGCGAGTGACGTATGTACACACACACACATATATACAATATAAAGTATGTGTGTGCACACGCACGCATACGTCTGTTCCTTGCCAGCCGCGATTCGCCGCACTTTCTGCACTCGGGGCGAGACGGGCGCGCGATCAGAGGTCGATTAGAAGAGGAGGACGGGCATAAAGTACAAAGGGCTCAACTGCAAGGAACGGATTGCAGACTCGCGGCTGTCCCCAGTGAGAAATGATTCGTCGATCGACGTCAATTCGACGGTGTCGGTGTCGATCGACGTCGTTTCGACGTCGATCGACGAATCATTTCTCACCGGGTCCTACGCTGCACTCTCTGCACTCCAATGGAACGTGAGATTTGTCCGAAAGCGGCCGCGCCGCGGGAGTCCACTAGCTCAGAAACAGACGCGTCCCCTGACAAAGTGGATCTCAACTACGTTCGTTCGCTCGGTAAGGACGAATGGACGTGCGGCTGGACGTCGAGCGGAGGAAGAAGGATGAAAGGTACGAAAATTTGCAGCTAGTGCTTGCACAAAGTGTATCAAGAAACGGTATTGATAATCCGATTCGCGAGAACAGAGGAGAATACACAAATATTTCGTACAGCGCTGAAAAGAAATTCTAACCTCTCTTATCGCGCTGCCTTTCGCAGGAGCTGATGTCGGACTGCGCGTTTCGGCGGAGTGAAATCTCGGCGGAGCTTTCGTGAGAACAATTGGAATATTTGGAATCTGTGTTGCCGCGGTGGCGGATCGTCACGTCCAGTGGATCACAAACGCGTCTGGTGCATCGCGATATGGTTATCGGTGGAAGGCGGGGCGATAACGCTTGAACGATCGTGCGCGGTGTGCGCGCAACGAAAATTACTCGCAATCGCTCGGCCGTTCGCGCGGCCCGTTTCTCAGCAAGAATGACGGTCGTAAGTTTTACATAAAGTTTTGTAAAAAGCGTCGCGTTTCTTTGCACTAAGTTTGAGGTTATACACTTTGTTCAGGTCCGGTCTCGCCAGCGTTGTTTAACTTTGAGCTTGGCTTAATTCGTTCTTCGTCTCTTTCCAACTGTTAAGGCTAATCTACTGCTCTCTGCGTCTAGAAACATTCTACTTTGTAGCCAACAAATGCGTTCAACAACTTTGTGCAAGTTGATAAATTGTATATTATACACTGTATAATCGTACACCGTCGACGATTTTTTTTAAGCGTTTCGATTTGTTTATATAAAATAGAATGTTTCTAGACGCAGAAAGCACGTTGTGGATTAGGCTTTAGTTTAGAAAGAGACAAGCATGAATTAAACTGCGACTTGAAGTTAAGCGACGTTTCGTGAAACCGAACCTCAGACGCTGCGAGATGTTTGTTCCCTTTCATCGTTCCGTCTGCTGTTTCAGGAACTGAAGAAGTTTCTCTACGGACTGTTGACCGACGTAGAGGGTTTGCACAGCATATTAATTACGGACAGGGACGGAGTGCCTGTTGTATCGGTGGCCAACGAAAAGGCGCCGGAGTTAGCCACGAGAGCCAGTTTCCTGTCCACTTTTGGAATGGCCACGGATCAGGGCAGTAAGCTGGGACTTGGCAAAAACAAAACCATTATATGCATGTACAGTAATTACCAGGTAAAGTGTACAGAACTGCCAGATAAATTGTAAGATTGATGCGTGGTCTACAATGCGAGTTGTAGAGTCGTAGTCGTAAGAATAATCGACTGCGATTGGTCAATTTCGTCAGACACATAAGAATTGACCAATCATAGTCGACTATTCTTACAACTACGACTTCTATGTAGACTTTAATGTGTTGCGAATATGATTTCGCTATGCGTCTGATCGTGAAATTGTTTTCGTAGTTAAGAATCCTCTCTTCGCCCTTCCAGGTGATCCAGATGAATAAGTTGCCATTGGTCGTTAGTTTTATCGCTAGTCACAGCTGCAACACCGGCCACGTATTGTCGCTGGAGAACAAGATTGACCCTATCTTAAGTAGCCTAAAGAATGCCGTGGTGGAAGCCTGATGGTTACCCGTTGTCCATTACGGGTGATAAATGCTGAACGCTGTTCGGATATAATTCTGTTGAGTATTGCATGAACAGTGGTCTTTCTTTTTCCAAGAACGACAGATACGTCTTTACGCTTTCACTTGCCCGCGTTTGTTCCTAATGTGTGCAGGTGTGTTTCGAAAAGTGAAAATGGTTATTATGTAACAATGACGTAAAGGTTTCAGTTCTTTGGGAGAAATTCAGAGATTGTACTCAGAGCTAGTTTATTTATTTGTTTACAAGAATACTACACGTGATATTTTTTTAATATAATCACGAGTCCTGTTAACTCTTTAATGGTATTAAGTAATTTAGTAAGTAATGAAAATAAATTGTTAAGAGCTTTTTGAAAATTGATAGATTTTACATAGGACAAGTTTCGAGCTTGTGAGATTTCAAGAAACGTCTAATGCACTGCGTGGTTGTACAGTTTTTGAAGATATCCTGTATAGCGTCATTTATATAATCATTCCAATATAACAACAAATTAAACTATTGAATTTGATAAGCAAGATTTTGGGGAATATTTAGAGATAATTCACTTTGTAAAAATATTTACTTGATTGCCTGAACGGATACAATTCATTTAATCTTTACGAAATCAAGTTGGAATTTAGGTGGTCACATTTGTGCGATATGAAGAAAAGTTACAGAATTTTATTAATTCGTATATGATCGAGCAATCGTTTCTAATAACATTTCTAAATAAATAAAGTGGTATAACGTACGAAAGAGGCGATTCACTACAAAGGATGAACCAAAGGTTTACCCTCGAGGCCGTTGAGAATATTTTGCGCTGCAATTGTCGACATGTCATTACGGGTCTTGATCGTCGCGCTGCCCACGTGTGGTACAATTGCTGTAATTATCAAAATGAAAAATTGATAATATATTGTACTAACGTAAATTACAATATCAGGTACATCATAGTATTAGGTTCCTTGAATTTTCAAGTTATAAATTCCTAAGAGCACGATTGACTTTCTGAATACTCCGATGTACGATATTGTGTATGATATGAAGGGACTTGAGAATAAAAATGACTGTACCGACCAACATTAGGTAATTTTAGAAGCTCGTGTCCTGGCGGCAGCGGCTCCGGGTCGGTGACGTCTAGTCCGGCGGCGAATATTTTCTTATCACGAAGAGCTCTCACGAGGGAATCGGTATTGACGATCTGACCGCGAGCCACGTTCACGAAGACGGCTGTCTTTTTCATTTTACCAAAAGCGCTGTCGTCGAAAAGTCCTCGAGTTTCGTTAGTTAAAGGCGCCGTAATCACGAGGAAGTCGCTCTGTGCCAGAAGCTCGTCCTGGGACACGAACGTCGCTCCAAGTTCATCACCTGAATCACGTAAAGAAATTTATTCCACTGCAATCCTATAAACCCGTTTTTACGATAAATTCAGGAAAAATTTGCGATACGAGTCTATTAGATATTTATACAATTCTTCGGATTTATTTATGATTAGAAATCTAATTAGTGAACATAGATTCTCTAGGGAATCTCTATATTTTCGGATAATAAATAAGATTAATAGGAGATCTAAATTTTGTATATATTGAACTCTTTATAGGTAAAATATATCGACGATTTAGAATATAGACGTGTAGGTCATTAAGACTGAAAAAAAAGTACTCTAACGGGTTGCGAGCGGACCTGCTTTCTTGCGGGAATGTCCGGTGTAGATGAAGCGCCCTACTTCAAATCCCATTAATCGTTTGACCGTTGCTTGACCGATATTTCCTAGACCAAAGATGCCGACGGTAGAACCTCGTATCTCGTGTCCCAGCATCCACTGCGGTCCGAAACTTGTCTCGCCCCTTTAATTACATTATCACGTATGTATCATTTGTGCAGTTGTTTATTATACAGGGTGTCGGCGAACGTTTGGGACTTATTTCTTGCGTAGACGGAGCGGACCAAGCTGAGTCGAAAAGATGAAAGATGATAGAAATAGATTCAATATTATAATTTTATTGTAGACCGTTTCGATTAGATGCATATTTATATACGGAACATAAATAGAATGAAAAATATCAAATGTACCAGAAGAGAAACACATTCATTTGGAACAAGAATGTATCTCGATTCCTATCTAATCTTATCAAGCTTCAAGCAGATTTTTTAGATCAGTCAGCTCGCAATTTGAAGTGAATGAAAACAGTTACTTTTCCAGCTTTGTACGAGTCTCGTGGGTGCGTCTCGCCGCGGCTAACATCAAGAACACCGCAATTTCCGAAACTGCAGCTGACAGCACGTTCGGCGTGTGTCCGACTTTGATTCCTCTTCTTTTAATTTCTGGGACATCCAAGTGATCATATCCAGCAGACATCGTCGACACGACCTTTAAATTCGAACCTGAAGAGAAACGTTATTGAAATTTATTGATTTATCGATCGACAAAGTCTCGCGATCGCTTTTTTTATGCCTTACTAAAAGGTATGCATTTGTGTACTTAAAAAAAACTGTTACAATTCATTGATCTCATCCTTCATCCTGTGTTTGAAAGTTTTAAAATAAAATTGTGCCCTTCCAGGGGCCAATTTTATTATCTGAAACTTTAAACAATTTCAAATACTCTCTTTGCTTTTCCAAATGTATACAGCATAATTTTTAAAGGAATATGTTGAAACGAGTCTTGCTTGGAAAAATTTCAACGGCTGGCGTAATCGCGAAATTTCGCAAGACAGGAAATAAAGAAGCTTTCTTCCGAGAGGATCAATTAAATGAATCTCTACCGGCGATATCGAGGAACTCGCTGTTGACAATGTGATGGCTGGCAATGAATACGGCGTCCTGCCCAGGTAGAGCTTGCAACACTTGTTCCCGAGTGCTTACATCAGCCGGTACAATAGTGACATTGCATCTACGTCAACAATAGTAAAACGATAAGTGGTCTATGCGATTTTTTCAAGCGTTCCAAATTCATTCTGACTTAACCAGGGAACAAGACGATCGTAATATGCACAAACAAATCAGGAAGGTCGGCAGACTAATTGTAAGAACGAGCAATAGGCGTCGAATGATTCTCTATAATTTATTGGCTTATAATTAGGTAAATTCCTGATTTATTCAGACTTACTTTGCGCGAAGCAAATCGATGCCAGCGGCGGGCACGTCTTGGCTAGTCACCAAAACACGCGGTAGAGCCAGCGAACTCATCGCGCTGCAAAATGAGGTCGCGATGAAAAATTGTCGATTGGATGAAAATACAAAATACGTACAAAGTGTACGGCTGTGACGGACGTACTTGCGTGATCTCTAAGTACTTCTCTGTAATGAAGGTCCTCTCTCTCTGAACTGCAATCCGCACCGACTCGCGATCGTTGGAGACGCGATTTGACGAGCGGTCGTTTAATGTATGCGATGTAGACCTCCGCCGTCTGTGACTTTATATCTTTCCAGTAATTGCAACGCCTTCAACAGAGCGCGTTACGCAATTAAACGTGCCAGCGTAAACTGGTTTATGATAAAACCTGTGAAAAGATAACGTGTTACTTTTATTATCAGTTACACAGCGCAGAACAAGCTACGCAATTTCTCGTTGAAATTAACCACAGGTAGCAACGCGAAGGATGCGTCGAGAGATCGTCGAAGTTAACGAGTGAATGTGTCCCGACAATATCGACGAAATTGTCAGCGAAAGCACGGAATTTGTTGCGACCATGAACCAATTTCGATTCAAATCTCGCGCCCTTGGTTTTTTGTATTGATTTGTAAAGCCTCGTCCACATAGAAGTCGTAAAGTCGTAAGAATAGTCGACTATGATTGGTCAATTCTTATGTGTCTGACAAAATTGACCAATCGCAGTCGATTATTCTTACGACTACGACTCTGCGACTCGCATTGTAGACCACGCATCAAGCCTAATCTACATTGTGCTTTCTGAGTCTAGAAACATTCTATTTTATATGAACAAATCAAAACGCTTAAAAAATTTGTTAACGACGCACGATTATGGAATGTATAATATACAATTTATCAACTTGCACAAATTTATTAAACATATATTTATTGGCTATAAAACAGAATGCTCCTAGACGCAAAGAAGACATTGTGGATTAGCCTTTACGCAATATATTTCTCCGATAGATGTTTCTACGTTCTACGTCATCCATTCCCCTATGTGTGTACCGCTTTCGTCTCCGGCAGTCTCCGGACACTCTCCAGCGCTCCTGATAGATATCGCCTTCATTTCTTATGTTGCGACGTCGGTTGAGTCTTATCTGGCTGAGGTATGTATTCGATTTGTATAAACTGTGTGTATATGCGTTTATTACTGCGGCTCGATCACGAATCTTTTCCTCCAGCGTAAACTCGTGAAAAGTGAAGCGTTTCATTGACAAATTTAACAAAATTCTTCACGAGTTCACGCTGGAGGAAAAGAATCCTGATCGAACCCCTGACTACTAGATTTAAAAACAGAGATAAGAAAAAGGACCGACATACAGTTCTGACTAACAACTCATTGTAGCGGGAGAACAAAGCATTTGTCTTATTATCCTGCTTTTTATCAAGCGCTGTTTCACACTTTCGACGGTAGCGCGAAGTCTGTACCGTCCGCGATTGAGGTTATGGCATGAAAGCACGTGAACGTGGCTGACGTAATCGCTAAAGGTGCCGCTCATGGTACGGTCATGGTCGGAAAGGTCGTCCGACGTTTTACAAAAAGTTTTCAGAATATTCGCATGTATGCATAGATGTTCGTACACATCGTTCCTTTGTCTAGTGATGCGTCACTGCTCATATCCGTGAGCAAACGCCTTTGACTATAGGCAAACGCTACAGTCTCTCGCATGATAAACTGTACTTTCGAAATTTATCGTAAAACGTCGGACAATCTTTCTGACCACGACTGTACTAGTGGAATGCTATTGGTTTTCGTTTTTGCCGCCAACATTCCATTGTTATGTAGCCGCTCGATAAGCGGTCGTGCTGTCTGATGCACACAATGCGCGTCAGTATTACAACTGCCACGAGACACCTTTGCTACATGGGCTGTATTTAGTGTCACAGCCGTTCACTGAGCACCTAAGGGCCAGTTTTACGAACGTCGGTTAACCGCTAGCCAGAGCTGGTTACGCTCGACGCCGTGTCTTGTTTTGTATTCTTATTTAAGAGGAGATAACAAAACATTTGATCTTCGGTTGACCGACATTTGTTAAACCGCCTCAAGGGCCAGTTTCACAAACATCGGTTCGGTCGACTTCCCATCTTATTATTTAAGAAGAGACAGAGTTCCGTTTAGGATATACAGCCGTAGACTTGTATAAGTGCGCCATCCCTATGGACGCGCTGTCCTAAATATCAGAGTGCAGACATATCAGAAGAGTCATGATATCTCTCTCTCTCTCTCTCTCTTGCTCAGCGTTAAGAGTGGGGAGAAAACGAGCAAGTTAGACAGAGACACGTTGCAGCAATAGAATGCGATTGGTTGGATCCAAACTATCCAACGGTAAGAACCAATCGCACGACCGCTCACCGAGTAGCTGAGTGGCATTTGAACACGATTGGTTGGATCCAACGGTAAGAAGTGAGCGGCGGTGCTTTTGAGTGAGCCCACATTTTCGCTGCGTTCGGCAGAGAAGGCTGCTTCGCAATTTTACGAAAAATTTCCGGGGAAGAAATATGCTTTCTTTCATATTTGTTTTGCCGCGAAATATTATGTTAAAATACCAAAAGAAACATGATCTTTTATAGTGAAAAGAGTAAATTCTAAAAGAAACTGTGTTTGGCTTCCTGGGAGTTTCGAAGTTGAGTGTCGATCCTACATAATTTTAGGCTCGATTTTTTAATTTCATTTTTGTAATTTATTGAGTAACATTTCCTTAATTATATACATGATATAAATATAAATTAAACAGATCAAAATTCTAATAATAATATATGTTTTTACATTTATGTTGCAGGTTACATGACACTGTATATCATCTCTTGGTTTAAGTCCACGAGAAAACGAAGTGGATATCGAATATGAGTGGGCGATTGTTACCAATTTTATTCGGCATATCCCTAACAACTTTCGGATTGTCCATGGCAGTTTTGTTGTATGATATGCTTAAAAAGGTGAATTACATTTACATTTACAGTTGATTTGTTTCCGAGTTACAAGCTTATCTGTTATTATCGTGTTGCGCAGGATGACGATGATACAACGAAACGTGGTCGGCTAGCATCGTCCAAACGAAAGGAAATCCGCGTAGATATTACGATACCCAAAAAGTATGTGCCGGCTGTTCTTGGTAGAAGTGGTGCTGTGATAAAAAATATCGAGGAGTTAACCAACACACGCATCAGACTGGAAAAGGAGAACTCGGTCCGCGAAGAGACCCTCCTTCACATATGGTCTGATATCATGGAAAACATCATCACGGCGCAGGGCATGATACAAAGTATAATAGAAAATCAACCTGCCATCGAAACTTATCAAATGTGGGTTCCTTTCACAGCCAGTCTAACCATTTTTGGCTCGAAGAACTTTGTTAAACATGTACCAAATGTTGGTTCATGTGGCTATGGCGTAAGAGTTATAGCTCCGTCGCCGGCACATAAAACCTCAAGTACGTACATGCAGGGTGTCTCATTTTAAATGATCCACGCAAGTATCTCCAACAATATGAAAGATGCGGAAAAACGTTTCAAACAAAAGTTGTCTGGTTCGAAGGGGGACACAAGATGGTGCCATTAAAAAAATTGAAGATCAACTTCAAATGACTATCCAGCCAATGGCACCACCTTGTGTCCCCCTTCGAACCAGACAACTTTTGTTTGAAACGTTTTTTTCCCCGCATCTTTCATATTTTTGAAAATATTTGCGTGGGTCATTTAAAATGAGACACCCTGCATATCGAGTGTCATATAATCTGCAATAAATATAAATGCATTGAAAACGTGCAAATTATTTTTATAATTATTTATCTAATTTATATTTATTTATTATAATCATTTACACAATTAAGAAGATATTTAATGAAAACTACAGAAAGTCAAATCAATATGAGCCTAAAATTGTGGATATTTTTCGTAACACTGCCACGACAATAACACAATTACTCTTTGATAATAGTATTAGTTATTATATTGCGACAATAACGATTAATTACAGTTGGACTGCTGAGAAAGATTGTATTAACAGGAAGTGCTGAGGACATGGCGCACATAATTGTCGACCTAGGCAACATTATTGAGGGAGAATTCAGAGCACTAGCATATTACAGAGCACCTGACCATCTTAGACGCAAAATAACTATAAAGTGTGTGCATGGAAAATATGAATTTCAAAATATGTTTGTATACGGACTGCCATGTCCAATTTGCTTGACAGAGATCGAAAAAGATATGTGTATTATACCACGAGTAGGAGAGAGAATAATAGCACAAGGTGCTATTAATAAACCTGTTGCTGAATGCGATTTACCAAGTATGCATTATTTTAACATGTTTGTTACAATTCGTGCCAATGTGACATTTTGTTTGATCGTTGTTGTCTATATTCGCCATTAACTATATTGTAATATACAATTAATTGTTTTGAATTATTTTCTGTATTCTACTGAAATCTCTAACGGTATTTATCGCAGTGATTGTCACAATTTGTTTTGTAGATGGGAAAGAAGCACTAGTAAAGGAGACTACTCAAATGTACAATGAAACTCAAGAGGCATGTAAAACTGAAATTAAACCAAGTTATGCACTGGGAAAAATAAATGATTCTTTATTCGATGAAATTGCTCAGAAGTTTATCGCCGAGTTCCGCAGGGTTGCATCACAATCTTCAGGTACGTAAAGCAACTTATATTTGTGAAATATTTAATTTTTGTAAATTTGTCATTAAATTCAAACTTATTAATTGGTGTGATATTGAATTATGTAAACTTTGATTTTAGAAGGTCTTATGCATGTCCATGTAACTGAGGTGGTAACACCAAACCTGTTCTGGATTGTGCTTTATGATACATACATGGACATACAGATGTTATCATATACCATGTCAGAGTATTACGAAAACGAGGAAAATCGCAAGTTACGTACTGTGAAAGAGGTAAGCAGAAAAGACTTGCTGTTTAAAATGTTCCTCTGGCAAGACTTTTCATACGCTATAAACGGAGGATAGGGCCGTGCATATACACAATATTATCATTAATACTATAGTTCAATTATCTACGACCGTTTGTTGAATCTAGATAAAGATAGGCCAATATGTAGCAGCTAAATATAATGAGGATGACAGCTGGTGCCGTGCAGAAGTAGTAGGTTGCCTCGATTCCTCCAGGTACTACGTCTTCTTCTTGGATTATGGGTACACGGATGAAGTTGATAAAAAAAATTTACTCGAGCTCTGTACAGATATGTTGAAGTTGCCATTTGCGGCTATGGAGTGTTCGCTGGCAAACGTGAAGCCAATGTAAATCAATATCTTACTGATCGATGGACTTCATTTCGGTTATAGATCGCCCTTAACATATTGTTATTTTCAGAGGAGATACGTGGGATGTGCGAGCTGTCAATAAGTTTAGCGATCTTGTTTTTATACACGAATTCAAAAACGAAAACGAAGATAAAGATGAAGATGACGATGACTACGATGACGGTTACTATGATGAACGCATGATCCTCGCTAAAGTTGTAAGCTTCGAAAGTCGTCCGGATTGTCCCGACCCCGACTCTCGTCGTCTAAGTTCGTGGATTCCTTGCCTTGAGCTGTACGATATGGTAAGAAAGAGTTACAAAGACTTTTAAATTTCCTAAACTTCAACTCTAAATTAAGCTTCAAAATAATTTATTGAGTATCCAAAGGCATCACTAAACTTAAATAAAACTTTTGTATTATGAATAATTGTGCTTTGTCACTAATAGTCTTGTCAAAATTTGTTCGCGAATAAAAGGTGCAAATCGTCGACAAGTGCGAAGCGAAGATAAATTTTAAAAGAAAACCTGTTATATCATGTGTATATTACATTGCATGCATTACATACGTGTTTGTTCATCACAGGATAAAGTTAACATTAGGGACAAATTCATAAAATCGCAACTGGCTCGACCCAGCGAAGAGGTCTTTTCGGCAACGTATTCCGCGTCAACTTTGGCCAAAGGCAAATTTCCGCTTATTCCACTTATACCAGATACATACCATCTTGATTAAACATTATTTTATTGATGAACCAATTTCAATTTGAAGAAGTGATTGAATTAATGATCAAGAGAGGTAATGTTCTTTTTTTATATCAAATATTAAATTTCTGGAGATATACATATAGTTACTCGCAAAACTGATGAGTACTAACAACTCTTCTTTTCATTGCTGAACTTTCTAGGACCAGCCGATCGAAAAAAATAAGAAATGCCAATAGAGGACCAAAAGAGACAGTTTCCTAATCAGTAAAATAGGAATATTAATTATATTAATATCAGTAATAATATTAGTATCATATATTAGTATAAATATTATTAATAACATTATCATTTATTAGTACAATTAAGATTATTATTATATTAATGTTATATTAATTATTAACATTAATATAGTAGACTGTACAAATGGTCTTCCATGAATTTGAGCAACAATCTTGAACTATATCATACTATTCAAATTAATTCGTCGTATAAAGCAAAATCAAATCGAATTAAGTTCTGTTTTTTTTTCTTGGAAGATGTATTAGCAGTTAGTACTATTTCATAATCAGAAAGTTTATACTATATATGTAATACTGTTTATTTTATAGTATATAAGATAATACTTTTTGGTACACTTTCATACTGAAATCGTAAATTTATAAAACGACTGAATTTAGATTTTTTTCTTATTTTTAAGTAAATGACATGTATATATATATATGTATATATATATATTGAAGTAATGTTTTAGGGAGTTTATATATTAAGATATGACAATACGTATAGTGTGCTTTTTATTTTCTTTAATTTGTATCAACACATAACATTAAGTACGTAAAATCGTTAAATGATTAAATTGTAATGCAATTGAAAAATTTGTGTTGGTATTATATTTCTAATGATAAGGGTAATTAAGTTGGATTAACAAGAAAAAAAAACAAATGTAAGGATAATTTTTTCCATAGTACAAAGATTTAATATTAATAACTATTACGATAGTATTATCAGCCCACACTGTAATAGTGATAAAATGTGATAAGGAAAGGAAGATATTAATATAACACTAGTTGAGTTTCAAACTGATAAAACAGGAGCGTGTATGACGATAAAAAAAATTAAGTTTTGTCAATGTAAGAATATAAATAAGAGAATATATTTAAAAAAAATTGATTACTCAAGTTATTAAACCATCAACAAGTACCTGAACCGGCAAGCGCGCCACAGCGAATCGCGGGAAGAAAAACTCACCGGGGAAAGAAAGGATGATCGAAAGTTCGGTTAAAAGAAGATCGAAAGTGTCGAGGCGTGACTCGGGAAGAAGGATATAACGATTTTTTTCGAGAATTCCACTGCACGTTTCAACGGCTCGCGGTCGTGCCAGTCTAGCGCGACAATTGACTCGCCACTGGAATAAACATGGTGCAAGAAGTAGCCAGAAGTAATTGTTGGTTCCTTCTAGAGAGACTAGAAAGCTGCGGCGAAGCTAAACGTATAAAACGGCGAGGACGGAGCGCCTCTCTTTAGTTCGTCGAATCCAATTCCTGTTTACTTTCAGCTCGCCGCAAGAATGATGAATAATTTGGTAAATAACGAACTTATATTATTTACTGTAATTTAATTCATCACTTTGTATTCGACAAAGAAATAGGGAGAGAGAAAAGAGAATAAGAAAAACAAGCTTAGTTAACAAGCTTGTTCCAAATTAATTTTCATTATCTCGTATAAAAAACTTTATTTTAGATTATCGCTGAAATGACAAATTAAAAAGAACAATATGATTCCATGTAGATTAAAATGGAAACGGTAAAACTAAAATTATGTTCCATACATCGGCAGTAAGTATCTGCTTTAGTTTTGACCAAATAATTTTACAGATTCTTCAATACACAGATTTAAATCTTGAATACAGATTTTTTCATTTTATAAATCCTGATTCTGATTTCAAAGTCACTGATTCAAGTATCAAAAAAGGAAAAATATATTAACACTATATTACTCGCGGATAAAATCAATATACAATTGTTGCGCTTGTTTTTCGATAAAAGTCTGAAAACCAGTACATAGCAGAATGACACAAATAACGAGATGTCGATCACCATTCAATTGATGAGCGATCAAAAAGTAAATATAGGTACTAAATTAATAAGTATTTTAAATAAAATTTGATATATTTTTCAGGGTATTGCACTGACGTTGCTGTGCGCCGTTTGCGGTGTACTGGGAGGTCGACGTTACATCGCTATCCCTGTCGACGGTATCGACGGTATCGATGTCATCGAAGTGAACCCGATCGCACCCTCGCTAACAAGGGTGGCCAGACAAACGGAGGCGTACGTACCAGTTGCTCTATCCAGTATTTCTCAAGACGACCACGAGGCACAGCGTCCTGAGCGATCGGCCACACATGTCCTGGACTACGTCGACTTTGGAGGACACACCGGCTCCAACGGAGCTTTCAGCTGGTACGCCGACTATCCGGCTCATCGTTTGTGATTTCCCCGAGGCAGATCCAAGATCCGACAGCGCGGAGCGTCGTTGATGTAGTAATTAGAAATTATATATAACTGTATATACAAGGCTGCATGAACGAAATTAATCATCGGCGGTCTCTGGAAGATAAAAGACACGAGACTTTAGCAATGAGTTGTAAAAGATACGAATTCGCGGCTTTCAGGTAAGATTTTCGAGGAAGACGGCGTAGCCTCTTATCTTGCGATCCAATATTCTTTATTTCTTTTTCTGGTATTTGTTTACGGTACAATAAATAGTGATGGAGATTGACAATCTCATCGTTCTTGCGTTAATATTCAGCTAAGTATCCACGGATCGAAAAATCCAGCGATGGGGAACACGTCGATCGGTTCTCGCCGCCGCTCGAATAAACCGAAAAAGGTTTGGATTCCTCGGTAAGACAATAGGTACAGCCTCGGGATATGATTAATATTTGTATTTATACAGCCAAGTGTAGTGCCCACACTTTATATACGCGTGTCTCTTTAAAATGTACAGATAGATATACATATACATAAAATACATATACATACGTACACTAAAAACATTTGCTCGTTGAAAGCTCGTAAGCAACGCGCGAAGATATTTAAATTGATAACAAATTTGATAGCGTTTTACGACTGCCTTTTTGCCTCTATTTAATCCTTTTAGTTCCAGTCCAAAAAATACGCACATCGAAAAAAAGTTTTATATCGTAGTCTTACTTTATATCGATTAAATTGCACATTTATTCTCATCTGACGGAGAAGTAGCGTCAATAATACTAATATTATGCACTGGAGGAAAGAATTTGTCGGGCGAGGTCATGCGAAACGAATTGTTTTCCATCTTGATATCGAGAGAGAAATTCGTGAAGATGGGGTGACGCGAAACTTTTCTCGATGTGTGTATTAGGAAGAATTAATTGATCGCAGTAGCCAAAAATAACAAATGTATATCTTTTCTCTTTGAACGAGAACGCAATCCCTTAACAATCTAACGTTACAATATTGCGGCAAAGCAAACATCGTTGCCGGGATTACTCGCGTGAAATACAATCACAATGCGCGTGGCATGCGCTGTGAAATGAAACACTCGCTGCACGCAGCCTCCCGTTGACAGAAACTATCGGTTAATTTTGATTATTTCTCCTGGAAATTTATCGGCGGCTGATTCTATCTGTCTTCTTATTTTCCAGTTACACGAATCTGTAATTCAATTCCCTCGTTCTCCCTTCAAACTTGTCCTTCATCGTTGCCGTTTGTTCTCATTTTCGGCACACCCGCTCATACATTGTGTAAGTACTCGAGTCACTTAAAGACACTTAAGTATCTCCGATCTGCACTTTTCTCTCGTTATTTCTTAGAAAATCAGATACAGCAAGACGTTGATACAGCGGAACCCATCACTACTACCTTTGCAGCTAGTGGCGATAATCCACTCGTCGAAGATATCACACAAATGGAGTTGATTAGTATATTACTGGATGTACGTGTATCTATATATGTATATACACATAGTACATACATATACAATTATGCTGATCACATAATGCTCGCTGTTGCGCATGAAGAGCCACCGAATGTTGTAGGTGCGGTTTATAACAAGTTTTAATATATATCTTTATATATTAAACGAATCTGCTATTGCACTGGTGTCCGAAGGTGTCTGTTTTTTTTTTTAATAATTTTGACAAGTTCTAACATGCAGTTAGACGATTCCGTGTGGGAGTAGCAGAACGATAGAGTCGCCACACATTTAAGAATAGTCATCTCGCTAATCAGAGACTGGCTAGCTTTCAAAGATGACAATCCACGAATATAACTTACATGCCATCGAGGTCTCACATAGTGTACTGGGAGAGTAGAATACGAGGAGTGACCATGGTGGTCGGTGCTTCGGGTCAGGTGGTGCACCAGGCGAGCACCACCTTCTTGAACGGGACGAAGATGGCTCGATCCGGCTCGCTATTAATGACATTTATTCTTGGTAAAATTCCAAATTAATTGTGCATCAAACACCTCAAATTCCATAGTATTTGTCCGAAGGTGTTAAAAAGCGAGTATTACGGCGAAGTTGTCTAAATAATATCAAGAAACAAATGTAGGAAAAACAGCTAATTTGATTTTAGAATTCTTATATTAAAGAATTCTTACGTCTACTTTCGAGAATTCTTCCTTGTATTTTTTCTTTCTGTACTCCAGTACAGTTTCAAATAGGAAAGTATGACACTCGATCTCTACGTATTTTGGAAATAATGTCGCAAGCTTACCAATCGAAGAATCTCCTGCCATGGAAAGAACCATCGGATGAGCCGTTGACGTATGGCAGTTCCACTCCCACATGCGCGTCTTCTCGACCTGGAACGGGACCTACGTATCTCACGCGACCTTGGAGGACCCTGCCCTCCGGCGATATGACCTTCACGAGGTGATCCAGTTTGAGATCTCTTGGTATCTGGAGAGTGCACGGCGAAAACGCGAGCGATTGTAGATTTGCGAATATTGAGAAATTCAATTGACTGAAGCGTAAAAAGAGAATCGCGAACGCGACAGCACCTTTGGCAAATATGGCTTGGCGTCCTGAGGTGGGTGCCAGTCACGAATCAAGTCCGGCTCCGAATGTCTCCGCGCCCTTCTTCGCCTCGCTGTCTGCTTGCTCCAATAATCCGTGCTGACGCTCGATATCGTCAGCATAGAATCGATGCTTCGCCGCAGATAATCCTCGGCCTCGTCGATCAACGACTCGGTGGAGTCTCCGCTGTTTTCGCCGCCGGCCGAGTCTGAGCGCAAGTTGGGCAGACTACCGCGCGTCATCGGGCACTCTGCAAGTTACAATCGTTTTCTTTCATCTTGAACTCACTGTCTGAATCGTAATTTTTTCTTCTTCAAATACCTGCGACATTATGTCACCTTGCAACTTGCCGATTATCGTCTCGCACGTACCTTGGAAGGTCACCTTGGATCGCGTCCTCTTTGGTGCGCTTTTCGAGGTTTTGGAGGAAGTCGACGGAGGGTGTACGTGCGTTGGAGAAGACGGCATCGAGGACCACGTCGGGCGCGGTGTGGAAGTCGCAACCGGTACCCTCCACGTGTCGAAGGACGCTGCTGTCGCTCTCCAGGAGTGTCTCCGCGGTGGACCGCCGACGACCTCGAGACCGGGCGACGGTATCGACGTCAGAGAGCCGCGATATCGCGAGGGATACAGGTCGGTTGACAGCCGGCAGTCGCAGGGACTCGGCAGACCCGTTGCGGGATTGCAACGGGGCCAGTATCCTGCGGGAGAGCCCAGGGACTCGCGTCTGTGAACTTCCGGTGTACGGAGACCACAGCCGCGCGAACTGAGACACGTCTGATGAAGGAGAAAAACCACTTGACCTTAGTCACCGATTCCTCGGGAAATCTTCAACTCCAAAACACTTTCGCGCAAAAATTTCACTCTTACTAAACTTTCCTTTATGTTATGAATTAAATTTTCAATTATCCCCAAAAAGTAAATTCTATAATAAACTATTAAGAATACTCTTAAAAGTCGCCAGCAGTAATTAACAACTGTTCTGAAAAGTCGAAATAGACGCGTAAACATCTTAACTAATATATGTTATTGCGAATAGTATTATCACAGCCCCAGTGGTCGAGCTGGTAAGACGCCCGTCACGGATTGAGGGAGGTCCCAGGTTCGAATCCTGGTTGGGGTAATATTTTTCGCAATAAGAATTTTAATTGCCAGATACGGTCGATAAAAATCATTGATGTTGTAAATTCTATAATATTGAGAAAATATTTATTATCTACTTCACCCCGTCGAGTGTAATGAACTAAACTGTATGTCTATTAATATTATTAGTAACAACTTGAATTTTTTCACGTTCCAGATTTTTACCTGCGCATGTGGCTCATGGCACAAGTGATCCGCGCTCCTCGACAACTCTGGTACCATGCTGGTGAAGCTGATGTCCGACAGCATGACTCTTCTGGCTTCTCGAGTTTTGTCCGACAGCCTCAGTCGGCCGGGCACTCCCGTTGGTAGCGCGAACTTGCTCGGTAGTGTCGTGAAAGTATGCGCGACTTTGTGCGCGAGATAACTCTCGGATCGCCACTGTGCTGGAAGCGCGGAGATGTCCGTCTGGGCGCCAGATTCTCTTCGGGCACCACTACTACGGTCCATCACCGGTCGCAATGGAGCAGAGCCCTTTCTCCGACTACTGGCCAGAGCTTCCCGGTGAATGATAGGTCTGGAAGGACACGCGACGACGATGACAATAGGTACATTATGAAATTGTAGAAAATTAAAACGGATCTATAATGTTAGAAATAGGCAACGACTATCGATCGATTGTCACTCAATCGATCGATAGCTTAATCTTAAGCTGAAAGTACAATCTATGAATTTATTAGATACGATACTTGTCAAGGGATTATTTCTCGAAGCATACTATTTTCTGAGATGAAACCTTTTTCTTCGCCAGTGAGTAATAATAAACTAATGACCAACTGGCAACTTTTATTAGTAATAAGCACTACGTTTTGACTGCGATTCCAGTCCTTCTCAAGTGCATTAAATTAACATAAGTGTGCGCTTACAACATTTGGAAGTCCTGTATGTATGTTAATTTAATGCACTTGAGAAGGACTGGAATCGCAGTCGAAACGTAGTGCTTATTACTAATAAAAGTTGCCAGTTGGTCAAAGAAAGGAAATTAGTTTAATACTATTTAATATTGTGAACCTGTAAGCCGTCGGCGGCGCGGCCAAGGTGTTTCTCCTCGTGACATGCCGCAGAGACGATCCCGCCGTGCTCTCGGCGTCCTCCAGTACACCGCACTTGCTAATGTCAGTCTCAACCAGGACGGAGCACTGCGACCACATCTTGTTGAGCCTGGTGCTGGAGCTCTCGTCGAATCTGTCGACGCTCTCCTCGCGATCGATGCTGGAGCTCTGCGAGGAGACTGCCTCCTCCACGGAGCTGGTCTTTTCACCGTTGCAGACCAACGTCTCGCCCTCCGCCGACTTTGTGTACTTGAGTAAGATGGGCTGGCCGCCAGTGCCAGTGTGCTGCCAGGTCTCCGTCTCGGTAATGGACACCAGGTCCTCCTGCAGGCCGAGATCGCGACACGTCTCGTCCGTCGTAAATATCAGCTCGATGTCGTCTAGCTCCTCCGACTCGTTCTCCGAATGCTCGTTCGGCCTCGGCGAGTCACCCGGCTGACCCTGCCGAAGTACCTGAGACTGATCCACGTGATCGCTGAACACGGAATTATCGCCGTCGGAGATGGACCTCAGACTCAAGTCTTCGGGATCTTTCTCGGGTATGTCTAAATGATCCATATTAGCTGTGTCGCCTAGGACAACGAAGAGAGAACACGTTTAAGAATATTTTCATAAGATACATTTTTGTTTTCTAGAAGTTTGAGACCTCGTTTTCAAGAAAATTGTCCCTATTTACGGAATCGTTGAAGGACCGACTGTTCTACCTGAGATTTCCACTCGCGGCTCTTCCTCGTTGCCAGTGACATTCGTTGTCAAAGTCGCAGCTTTGTGATTCTCATTTTGGGAAACGTTCAGTGTGGACGCCACCTCGGTAATTCTGTTGCCAATTGTGCTTCTGGTAACTGCGGTTTTGGAAGATTTTGACGAATCCTGAAACTTGTCGGATCGGCCAGCACGAGAAGACGGGTCGGGACTGTTGCTGTTGCTGCTACCGCCGCTGCGTTCAGAGGCAGGCTCGTTGAGCGCGTTCTTAGCGTCAGTAGCAAGCTTCTTGGACACGTCCATGGTGGTTTTCTTAGGATCCGTCGGCTGGCTGTTACGTGGAAAAATTCGATGAACGTGCCGTCGAGCTGTCGATTGAAACCGAAGGATCCATCTCCCGGCCAGCGACCGAATCAACTTGTACTCACTCCATGTGGGCTTCTACGACGAGTCGGACGTGTTTCGATTGTAGCGGAGGGCTGGTCGCCGCATCGCACGAGAACTCGCAGCTTCTACTCAGGATCCTTCGCCTGAGCACGTGATTCTCGAGGGTCAGGCGGCCCACCGCGTCCACGTAGCTCTCGCCGGAAAAACTCCCGACGCTCTCCTGCAGTCGGCGGAGCTCCTCGCGCGACGAGTCCAAAGCCGAGCGCAGTGACACGATCGTCTGCATCACCAGGACAAGCCGAAACTGTTTAACTCGACGAGAGGTGCGTGGCAACGAAAATGATAATAAAATCCCCTTTACACATCTCATTGTATTTCGTTGAAAATCTAGGAGTCAATTCTGTATCTTGCGACACAGTGAAAATGCTAAAAGCGATTAGTCTTTTTCTAAGGAGACAGGGGACTCACTTTTAGCATTTTCACTACAGTGTAGGATACAGAGTTGACCCACTAATCTACGTCACATAAATGAAGGCGAACGCACTTCTTTTCATTTAGAGATCAATCGCGGTTGGCATTTGAGGGGCGAGAATCTTTAAATTACGATTCAAAATCTGAAGGTCTGTTCGCGCCACGCGCCCCACATGCTCCTGTTTACCCCAACGACCAATACCATCATTTTATTTACGATTTATTGTAATGGACGAATTTGTTATCTCAACCATAAGATTTTGTTCGGCTAAACAACTCCATGGGAACAAAATAGTTTGCTGTTGTAACAGATATGATTTAAGTGACGGCATTGGGGCAAGCAGGAACATATTGGAGCGTGCGACGCGAACAGACCTTAAGATCCAATGGGAGAGCGCCAAGATATTGCAACATAAATGAAGTAATAATAATACAAATTACTTTAATAATAAGTAACTATTTTATGTAAACCGCGGGCGGATACTCTGACTGAGAGACCAATTTTGTTGAGAAACGAAATAGTTTGATCGAATCATTTTGTTGACTGAACATGTAATTTGGTTGCATAAAACGAAGAATATGTTGCCGAAAAGAAGTTTAATGTTACAACAGCAAACTATTTTGTTCCCACGGAGTTGTTTAGCCGAACAAAATCTCATGGTTGAGATAACAAGTTCGTCCATCACGTCCTATATAACTGTATTTGTTGCGTCAACGAAATGTAATCAAACTTTCCAACTAGATCTTCTTGTTCCATCAACTGAAAAATTTATTCACTCGCAATCCAACCAAGAAATTCAGTTGAGTCAACTAAATTTCGTTTCGTTCAACAAAACGAGTCTCTCGGTGTACGAATTGCAAATAAAACAACGGTTCCCCGGCCAGAAGAGAATTAATGATAAAACTCAATATCGAAAGGTGCAAAGGACGAGTTTGGACGCAGACAGCCGGGAGGAATGCGCAAGATGAAGCGGCGACGTGTCGTACTTGGTGCAAGGCTCTTATGACGTCTAGTCCGGGTATTTCCGGGGATGGCAGGACGCCCCTGAAGAGCCTCTGAAGAGACGGCTGGCCAGTTGTGGCTTCCATGCCTCCACCACCCCGCCTAATGTTTTCGAGTGGATCCTACTACCGCCACGGATCATGCCGAATTTGCTGTTGCCCCTTGCTGTTTTCCTCTTTCCCCCTGCAGCGAGATCCTTGTCTCTCGACCGCGGAGCAGCTCCCGCTCGATTCAGGCGAATCTCTTCATCTCTCGGCGTTCCTCTGCAAAGTACATCGCTTTTTCAAAGGACTGATCGCCGTTAACGTCAGGTAGTGTCTTTTTCGCGTCGCTTTTCCTCTCTTTACATTTTCATGCAATACTTTTCACGCGTTAATTTCCTCCTCTGTAAATTTGTTTCCTACAATCTTGGTTTAAATGCCACGTCAGCTTAGCCTAAGAACATTTTGCTACATCCTTCACTGCTCACATTCCTTACAAGCGAACAGTTTGCGTGTAAATGTCAGCATAATAGACAACCATTTGCTTTTACAGTATAAATGTTAACCAACGTTGCATAATATAAAATTTGATATAAATGCTGAAAGGTGAAAGGACCTTCTTGAAAAGGGACACTGAAAGACCTCCTCTGCGAGATGTAACGGTAAAAATAAAATCGAAGGACAAAATGTATTCACAGGAGGGAAACGATCTATCAATCTTCAACCGATCCCTCAGTCCACGGGGCCTCGAAACTGAATAACTGTCGCAGATAAGTCTAATATTACATACTTTAGAAGAGCAGCAAGAAACTATAGCTACGAGTTAACGCAAGAAAGCAGAATCGATGCGCCGTTACAAAGAGGAGCAAAAAATTGCAGCTGCGACGAGCTGATGCAAGTAAAATCAATGATTGGTAAAATTAACCAGTCTTCAGAAAGTGTCGGCGAGATTTTCAATATCTTGCATGCGTACGCAGGAAATGGGAAAACGTACAGATAAACGTACAAAACGTACGGAAGTGCACAGAGATACATATTTACCCGCGTATATTGTTCTATTTACTCTTACAGCAGCTTTTCTCGCACGATTTGCGTCGCATTTCGCGGCCGAAGAACGCGCCCGACTCGTCGAAGGGACCGCTCGCCGCGCGAGCGGGCCGTCGCGCGCGATTCGCCCGCGCTGGCTCACCTCTGCGCTCCGGGGGATTCGGCGGCGAGCGGAATCGGCGTCCCTGGAAGTATCGGCGATCGGCGGGGGCGACTTCACGTCGGTGGAAATTAATCGAGGTGCCGTCGTCGCGCATCGGGTGTGCGTGTCGTCGTCGGAAAAGCGCCGGAAAATCCCTAGAAAATTGGAGCCGCCGCCGCGCGCGCGGGCAACCCCGTCTGTCCGTCGGCGCGAGGCGCGCTTCTCAGGAGGAGGCGCGCGTCGACGCGTGGCCCGAGCTCGTTGCCGCCAGGCGATGCCCCGTCATTTTTCACAGCGAGGCAGGTACGCGCGATGGACGGTCGGGAAGCGCCGCGGGGAGCATCGGGGACGCTCCGGCCGAGTCGAGACGAGTCGGACACTTGCCGCGGAAAACTGTTGACAGCGTCGACGACAGGCTACGGCGGCGACGACGGCAATGACGTTGGCGACGATCGATCCGAGCGTTCGATCGCGGCGGTCACATTGACGACGACGGGGGCCGGGAAGCGCGGCCGGGCGGGTGCGCGAGGACGGCGCACGGCGAGGAGATCCGAGGGGCGGCCGAGACCGCGCGAGGACGTTCGATCGCGACGAGCGCCGACGGTCGGCCGCTCACGGCGCCGTGCGAGGCATCGCGGCATCGCGCGCGCGCGCTCTCTCGCTCTCTCTCTTGCCCGCGGACACGCTCTGGCACGTCGCCCGCGGTGCCGAGATTGCGACAGGGGTGTTCCGCGTCAAGTGTCAAGACCGCGAGCTGTCAGCCGCGCGCGATGCAGACGACGGGACGACGCGAGCGCAGCGAGACGCCTCGCGCCAGGAGTGCCAATGTCCCGCGCAGGGTTGTCTGGTTGTCTCCAAGACTTTTTCTCGACGCGTATTTTTAAAATCCTTCGAAAAGACCCTCGGGAATATGAAAGCGTATCTTGTAAATTTTCTTCTAATAGATTAGATTTTAAATAGTTGAGTCTTGGGTCCACGATGCTAGAAATCGGCCCGAGATTTCGATCTACAGACTCGATACCGTTTTCGCTCGGCTGATTCCAGCGCCCTACGCCCATTTTCATTTTTCTGGAACTATTTCGCTACACCCACTTTCAAGCACTGCCGATAAAGCCTCCACTTGGTTCGCGTCCGTGCTACGCCCATTTTTTTAAGCGGGTAATGCAGTGCTCAATTTTGGTTGTGTTCCGGGCTGCGTGCATGAAATGTCGGTAACGCGAGCGAGCGAGAATTAAAATGTTA